ACACACACAAACACACACAATCTGATGCTTATTGTGGCTTTGGAATTGGTGAAAGTTGCTGGGACATTTGAGACTGCTGGTGACGGGTTGTACTAGTATGTTCTGGCTTTTGGTGGTTTGGTGCATGTCTGTCTGATGATATTTTGCCTTGCATGTTTTTTCTCTCCCTACTCCTCCCCCAATACCTCCCCTCCTCTCTCTCTTCCTGCAGCAGAAGACCCCCGGCTGCTCCCAACCGACCCACTGTCATACGTCCTTCAGAGCCCTCCCTGCTTGACTAGAAACACACATAAAAACACCTTTCCTCTTGTTTACATAAGAGATAGCCATTCTTTTTCTCCTCATGTATATTCCTATAACTACAAACTTTGTCCTACTGTAATTGGTAATCTGATGCTGTTTCAGTCTGTGCATTTCAGAAGCATTATGTATGTAATTTTGACTTTATGTGTAGGTAGCTTTTTTAACAAAGTATATGATAAAATATTCTGCATTCAGTATTATGAAAAGGGATACATTTGATAACTTTAATGACTTAAAGTTTATGAACCTTATGATCATCATCATTGAATTTTACTTTTTTCATTTGAAATGAAATGTGTCTTAAAACCAGTATTTGACTCATAACTTTTATATAATGGTAAGAAAACACTTTTAGAAGTAATTGTTTTAGGAGTTGTATACTTGCTAACATTTTAACAGTAAACTTACACACTAAGCACCTCATTAAGTGAGCAGCACTTTTTGACCGTTTTCTCTTCATTTTTAGTATTTTCACATTATAAAAGTCAGGCTTGAGTTAGCTTATTAAAAATAGACTAGCCAATGCCTCAATATTTTGGCTAATTACTTTATCACAAGTAGTACTATAGTATAATTGAGGTGAGTTACATCCCAACCACTGCTCAGCCTTGGTGAAATTTGTATCCATATTCCTTGATCAAAAATGATTTTAGGATCAAGTAAGGAAAGGGCCTCTCCTTCTGAAGGTGTATAAAGTGATGGACTGAATAAAAGAGTAGAAAAAGAAGGTGTGGTGGCTGGTGCTTGTTCTTGCTCTTTGACATCCTTTGCTCCATTTCTATTGTCATTCACCATCAAGCCTTTCTTTGTTTTTTTTGTTTTTTTTTAACCTGATCCCTTGTTGCATCTTTCATTCGATCTGCCGTTTCCATGCACGTGTCAGTAAACATGTAGTACATGGACTTCCTGTTACTGGGTGGCACTATGAACATACAATTCAGTGAGTAGCACACAGTCCAGGTCAAAACCTTGTGACTTGCATGATAGTCAAATGGAGACAGCCATGCAGAACAAGAACGTTTCACTTAGTCTGTGCAGCCTGGCATGACTTTCCTGCCTTCCTTCCCTACTGTATGATGGAGCTGTGGGTTACCACGGTAACCGGGGTTGCCAGTGGCAACGAACAGTAAAGATAGCTTTGCTTTTTGTAGAGCCAAGCAGGAATGAATAAAGGTATGCAATCGCACTCCTGTTTTCTACAGATATTTTCCTTATCCACTGCATCTGTCAGCTGTGTTGTTGTGTGATTGGAAATCTTGTCATGGTCTTCTTTTCATGGTCTTCTCACACAGGCGACCTCCACAAGTCCCCTCTCGTCCCAACAACTGGTGAAGGAAACTCAGGTGTTGAATACTCGGACTTGGACTCTATAGAGTCCACTCTGCCTGCTACACTTGGCATTAGAAGTTCAGGTGTACCAAAAGGTTTCTGTAGCTGGTTCCTATGTACATTTCTGAAACTGCTTTGTTTTTTATTTGACATTTAAGGAAGGGAAATAATTGGCATTAATTATGACATATGGTTGTGGCTGGAATAAAGCCAACATCCTGTGAGTGTTGGGCTTTCTTCAGTCCAAAATATAATAATTATCTCATATAAATGAAATAATACATAAATACTGATAACCTCTGTACATAGAGGTATGTTATTAAGCTTACACATTTGATATTTTTGCAGTGATCATGTTTCTTTCTCTTTGCCTATAAGTACTTCTGAAATACTGTCTCATAATTCCTCCCTTGAAATGTCTGTCAAATCCACACTGCCAATGGTCAAAGCTTAGGATGAATGAGTCAACTGGTAAGCGTTTGAAATATCTGTGCCAAACTAAAACATCAAGAAACTGTATCTTGAGACAAACTTAGCATAAAACATAAACCACACATACAATACAGTATATTGTAATGTTCTCCTTCAATAAAGAATAAAGTAATTTACACTCCTGCAACATCTTTGTTGTTACATTGCTAAATACTGTACAATGTACATAACATGAACTGTGAATGTAAATTGAACTCAAGCTCATCTCTGGCAGTCTCATTTGTCTCTTTACACTGAATGATAAAGCAGAAATGTCTCAATGTAGAAACTTGGCAATTTGGTCATTTCAACACTTAAAAACAACTCAAGTTCATTCATGCTGATTTTCAAGTGTCTGATCAAATACTACTTGTATGTAACCTTTATACCAACTTTAGTTTAATATCTGAGAATGTCAGCCTTGTTTTTATGAATTCTTAAGGTCAGACGTTAGGGGGAGCTCCATCTGCAGAAATAAGTAAATAATAAATAATAAGTGTGTCTTAACATGTTTTCAGATTTCTGACTGCTTCCTCTCGGTTTTCAAAGTCTTCAAAGGCTTTGATAAAGGCGCCCTGCACTGCTTACTTAGTTTTCTCAATTCCTGGATATCTATGGCATCATGATTACATTATCTGACTCCACTGACACTAAATAATTGATCCAAGGCAGCCTTATATTGACGTTTGACATACCTCCTGAATACATCATGTACATCTGTCAAAACACATTTATTAGTTTCTGCCTTTGGAAAAGTGGGAAAAACAGTAAAATTTCCCTAGACTACTACACATCTGTACTATCTCTTTAACTATTTATGGTATTCAAAGCGATCTCCTTTTGATAACTAATGTAATGGTTTTTCACTTCCACTCACTGAGCCTCCCTTGAAACTGGAGTCCCCCTGGGGAGGCCCGCCTCCCACGCTGAAAACCTTTGGACTAAGTGTCTTGTTAAGGTCAATGAACTGTACATTAACAAGTAGGGTTAAAAAAAAAGCCTGTATGACATATGAATATGGTTTCTTGAGGTCTAAAGCTGCACCAAAGAACACAATATGCTGAAATCTGATCATGTCAGTGTTAACAGCACTAAGGAGTCTCATGATTTACATACATAAGAGAGGTATCTTTGCTTCATGATAGTATTGAGTGTGTCCTGATGATTAAATTTAGCTACAATTAATCACAGTATGTTTTTAATGGAAGCTCAATGAATATGAGAGTCATCAGGGGAACACATTTGAAAAGATAATTCATTTGTTCGTTCGAAGACAATTCACAACAAATCAAGTATTTCCTGTGTAAAAAAATGCATTTATTAATTAACATCAATGACTCCCATATAAACCTGATTTGTATTCACTCTAAAGCATATGTAAAGCAAGTCTGTTCTTAGTAAAAAAAAAAAAAAAAAACCAAAAAAAGCCCCCTCAAATAAAAAAAATAACCCTAACCCTAACCCAAATCAAAGATGACAACGGAACGGAAGCCAGACACCTACAAACACACATCTAACACTCAGCGTGCAACCGCTGAATTATCCTGACACATATCTGAACTGACATACACATACTTACTACATATTTGTCTGAGTACATTATTGGCAATCACATTGGAAATCATCCCTCTTATTATTCTACATTCTTATTTGTCAGCATGGACTTGAACTGGTACATGAAAATAAATCAGTAACATCTGAAAAAAACATCAATGAGACTGTAACCAAGGAACAGCCTTGTCAGATGGACAAATCACCAATGTAATGAAAAGATCTTAAAATGTCAGGAAGAACAAATACGCCAACAACCCTATTGCACATTGGTATCCCTTGTTAACCGGCAAACCAGGTGTTCAATCAGCTTTTGAGGTTGTGGCATATAACTTTACCTTTAACCTTTAGTATGGACAATTTCACCTTTAACGAAAAAAACCCAAAACCTCTAAACCAGTTTCAGAAACGCTAGACAGCAGTTATACAACATTTACTGTTCTGTGCATCTAGTCAGTGCCTTTCAAACTATATTTCCTCACTGGTTTGTGGTAAGATTTGACATTAAAGGCACTAAATGAAAAGCAATAAACTTCCTCACTCTCGTCCTCGTCCGGTTACCCTTCATGATCTACAGATGTTTAATTATTGCTCACAAACTGATCTAAAACAAGATTTTAGAAGTAAAAAAGAGCTAAGATGATGCTGAATGCTGGTGATGACGCGGACCAAATGAAAAAGAATAGAGCACAATCTGAATGGGTAACCATCTGAACATCTTGTGTTGGAGTGTTTCTCCTTCCCAGGCTTTTATCCCTGCAAAATGATCCCTCTATGTGTAGACCCTCCGCTTATCGTCAAACAATTTACGGACAGTGTAGACCTGGGAATAGAGAAAAAAACAATATCAAACTGTGTGACGGACAAACTTTTAGCGGGTTAATTACCAGTTAGTTAATGTACTGTGTGGTGTGTCAGTGCTCCATGTACCTGGGTAAGGGCCACACACAGCATCACCAGCACACTGGCACAGGACCAGAATGAGACCCTCCACAGGTTGTCTTCCAGAAGGTTTCGGTCCCGTGCCTCAAAAGCCCGCAACACCGTCTGCATGTGCCGGCTGCGCTCCAGCCGTCTGTGCAGAGAGTCCATGGACTCCTGAGGAAAGTGTAAAGAATGTTTTATGGGATTTAAAAAAAATAAAAAGTGACGAGGGCCGCCCTGACAGCTCACCTGGTAGAGCTTGCACCCTATGTACAAAAGTCCTTACCCAGGTTTGATTCCAACCCACTGCCCTTTGCTGCATCCCCTCTTTCTCTTCCCCCCACTCCTGTCATCCTTAAACAGTTACTATCTAATGAAGGCAATACAACCCTCCCCATAAAATAATATGAAGAAGTGGGAGTAAGAGACAGAGGAAGTACAATGACTTGTCAGACAAGACGGTCTCAAAAGTACACAGAGTTTTAAGCACTAAAACTTGCCTGTCTCAACAGAATTTCGCACACGTTTATTTTCTGTGCTGGTTTTGATTTTATGTTAAAGGACCAGTGTGAAGGATTTGGTGGCATCTAGCAGTGAAGTTGCAGATTGTAACCAACTGAATACTGCTCTCCTTTTCAAGCGTGTAGGAGAAACTACAGTGGCCGCAAACTACTGTTTGTTTTGTGCGTTCTCGGCTATTGTAGAGACATGGTGGTTCAACATGGCGGACTCCGTAGAAAAGGACAAAAATTCTTAGTTTAATGTGTCCAGCTGAACTAGTTAAAAGTTACGGCTGACGTCTTTCTTCCATATTGTCAGCAAATTCCATGAAAGGAGCAAAACCAAAAAAACCAAGAGTACGTCTTTCAAAACTTTCCACTTCCCCAACCTGTCTGTGGCCTGAACCTCAATTTACTAAGGAAAAAGGAAAATTGACTAAAAATTATTTCCTAAAACATTTTTAGCAAACCTTACTAAAACATGATGCACTTGTTAGGGACTATCTTCAGCCATGGATTCATTTGCTCTAGTGAGTATTAACTGCAGGGCGGTGAATGTGGGATTGACTCTATCAACTAGAGCCACAACAATGGAGGAATAAGATAAATCAGGCTTTGGCTACAGACGCTACAACACTTGTTTGTAGGATCAGTTGACTGTTTTGGTCTTTTCATGGGATTTGCACCCTTATTATTTGAATACCCAAATTATTAAGAAACCTTATTAGTTCATAAACAAAATCAAAATACAACCATCAAGCTGACAGTTGTTCAAGCTGTATTTGGTCCAGAGACAAGACAGATCCGTGCTGCACAATATGGTAAAAACATCCCATTGAGATTATTTACACAGATATTGTGATTACGATATGATTTAACACGACGGTTTAAAATGTTCATCCCCACTGATCGTTTTTGCGTCACAATTTTCTTTCTTTTTAAAAAAAAATATATCATGTTGCTGTGACGTTTTCGTGAATCTAAAGAACAAGGTTTGTATGCCATGATACTTTTCCCAACCACCGCAGGTCCTTTAACTGAGCAACCACATAATTTAACACTGTTTGTCTCTGTAACATCTGTTAACACTTATCACAGTCACTTTTTTTTTGCACTATTTAATATACTATTTGCACTTTTAGTACTGTACAGTTTTACACACACACACACACATATATAATTTCCTCTATGCCCATTATTAGTATTAGACCTGTAGTGTAAATTACTGCTGTATATATATTTTTGTCCTGTATATGTAATATTCTGTATAAATCATATCTGTATAAAAGTTGTATGTAGTATATATAAGAACTTCTTTCTAACTTTCATTATATCTTGTATTTTTCTATTTATTTTGTTATTTGTTTATTTCTTTTTTTCTTATCTGCTGTGTTTGATCTGGAGCTGCTGTAACCTGTGAATTTCTCCAGTGTGGGATTGATAAAGTCTATCTTATCTCTTTTCTTATAATGTGGTTTTGTCACACATTTCACCTTTATCAAAAAACTGCAGCTTCTGTAATTTGGATTTCACAATACTGCAGCATCATCAGCATCATTTTGATTATTTGTGCATCCCTACTCTATTTATGTTTGAATTAAACATGACAAACCTGTCCTGGATTCTACCTACACAACAAACCTGTTATATCTATCTCTCCTCTTCTTGCCTGGATGCTGTGTAGACATTGGTTGAGCCGATCTAGGGGTTTACTAAGAGGTCGGCTGCATAGTGAACTAGATTTCCTGGTTTGAATTCATTTGTAAACCTCCAAAAACAAAACAAGCCTCTCACCCGGATGTCCTCCAGCTTGTACTCCAGAAGGCTACCATCAGGCTCTTCTAATCCCGCCCACTCTTCATCTCCACCCACGTCTCCCCCTTGACCCTCGATGATAATCTCAAAGAACACCATCTTCTCGGAGAAGCGACTGAAGCTGTTGTCAAAGCAGATTTCATAGTCTCCCTCCTGCGTTGGCTCCACCCTGGAATAACAGGAAGTAAAGTCAAAGATAAGCAGGCAGGTACATTCTCAGTGACATGAAATATGATCAGGCCAATGCGAGATGCACTAACACATGGACTCCGTCGGAACGCCGAGACTCGATGATGAGCCGGATGCCCTCTGGAGAGAGGATGGTGAAGTCTACATCCATACCGGCACCCGCTATCACCTGAGTGTGCACACACAAAGACATACAAACACTATTTACTCGTATTCAGTAGTGACAGTAGATGTACAGACAGGATGTGGAGAGAGATGACAGCTGGGATGGTACCAGGCACGTTCCAGCTACATGGTGTGAGTCTTAACCACTCGGCCACGAGGACGCTGCAAGCCAAACATTTTCAATAAGGATTACTTGTGCCTTTCAAGAGAGAGCCTGTCGTCTGTAGGACTGCGACTCTCCCACTAAGCAAACACACCGCTGGCTAGTAGCAACTTCACATGGTGCTACATATTACAATGTGTGTGCTGACGCACAGTTTGGACAGTAGGAGAGCTGTGATGATTAATCGATCAGTTAATCAGCAACAATTTGGATATTTTGACATTTGAGAAGTCAGTTTTTAAGCAAGAATGACTACATTTCACTTGTTCCAGTGTCTGAATGTCTGAATCTCTTTGGGTTTTGCACAAAACAAGCAACCCGAAGACGTTGCCTCTGGGATCTGGGACATTTTGATGTTCCCTAATTAAACAAATCAAAAAATTAATAGAGAAGTGAATTAAATACAGTTGTTCCAGCCCACACCAAGTGTTGAATTCACACAGGCGCGTGGTCATCCGGTACTATATCACCACTACTGATTGACTGTGAGATACTGCTCAGAGGGTACCAGGATCTGAAAGTAATACTGTACAGCCTTTCATTTACACAGTGACTCATTCTACTATGAGCCATGCGTGGTGTATTGTTTCCTGTATAGTATTTTCTGCTATCACTGATCTTTAAGTGATGGACTTTCTTTTAGTGCAAACTAGCTGCCGGTATGGATTAGTTACCAGTGTATGTGTGGGTGGTGGAGCTACAGTGGGGGGTTATTACACTGGCTAAGTCCCACAGCACTGTGCTAATGGAGGACTGTGCAGTTTCATTCTGACTTATAAAGCATAGATATAGCAACAACATCGTGCTGCTGTGTGGCTGATGGGAGTGTTTAACTGTGCGCACACACACACACACAGTTACCTGATATTCGACCTCCATCGTACCATTCTTCACTGCTGTCTGAAAGAAACACTCGGATCTTCCGGCTGGCAGCAGAAACGTGAACTCGCTGTCTAGGCTCTGTCCGAAACAGCTCACAGAGCCCAAACAGCACACAAACACTGCTGCGAGGACGAGCAGTCGCCCGCTGCTCCCGTCTTTCCTCTGGAGAAGGTCCATAGCGACGATATTCCCAAACACAGGGCTATCTAAGTTCAGCCATCTCTTTCGCATCCCTCTTCCGCAGCAAGAACTTTGCGGCGTTGTGATTGGACGGAGGCCCACGAACGAAGGCAATGGTGCGGACCAATCAGAGGAGGAAGAGTAGCAATCCTCCTCCAATCAGTGCAGGGCTGAAGTTGTCACCCAGAACAGTTACAGCCACAGTGTGACCCGCTGCTGCTCATGTGATCATATACTGATCATCAGCCTGCAAGTCCGTAACAAAGTGCTTTACATAGGCCTCTCTGCAGGGACACATGTCACACAGGATGTATAGGTTGTAATTAATGTCTTTATTTAAGGATGATCATTTACTCATAGTTTTTACACTCTTTCATACTAATATGAACAACTTTTTGGGGTTTCCAAGTTGTGAAAAAGCTCTCTTGCTGGTGTTGCAGCTATAAACTGGAGATTGGCAATGTTTTGCAGTTATGGTGAAGATGTTCAAAAGCAATTAAAAGTGTTTAAGTGTGTGGGCATCCTGTAGTAAGTATTTAGTCAAAGCTTTTACCATTTGCTGTTTGCAAGGTCATCTACATAAAATAAATACAGACATGGAATAATAATAATATTAACAATATTGATAATATTCTCAACAACAGCAGCAACTATAATAATAATAATAATAATAATATAACAATGGCAATGATAATACATTCATTAAAATGTAATATTTTAATACTATAGGTTGGTTGGTATGTCACAAAATATGTTCATCAATAATAAAAATCTGCGAAAACAAGAACTGGATAAGTCAGGGGTTCTGGTGGTGTAGCTACCACACTGAGGTCATGACATCAATTACTGGTATTTTCTGTGATTTTAACAAATTTAGAAACTTGAGGAAGTAACATTTTACATTATTGTTACACATTTACTGTAACAGTCTTATCATTTCATTGAAAGTCAACATGAGAGAAAAACCTGCTGACAGTTTGTGGTCTTCAGGGCGTCAGTAAGGGAGTTATTAACCCATGACCAATCCTGGTCAGTGGCAATCAGGTTAAAATACTTTACTTACTTGTAAAGCTTCACAGATCGCAATAACATTTGATAAAATCATATTAGACACACACTAAAGGATGTCAAAAAGTCAATTTAACACTTTTAATTGTTTGTCTTGTGTCTGACACATGTTGTAGCTACACTGTTACAATAACACTCTCTTTACAGATTTAATCATGTCACAGCAGGGCAGACACAGCTGCACATAATAAAGTTAATGATGGGCAGGTTTTATTTAGGCGTCAGCTGACACGCCTTGACAGTACCAGTAAATATTATCAATGCTTGCTATTCAGCAAACTGAAAGCAAACCTAGTCATAACTCATTTCCATAGCTGCATGGTCAAATAAAAGTATTGAGCTTGTATGTTTAATTCATATATTTATATATATATATACATTTTTAAAATAAAATATAGTTTTTAACTCTTTTTAGTTGATGTGATATTATGGGCATGTGCTGGTCATTGAATCATGTTATGGAAATCAGTAACCTTGTGCTGAAATTTGTGCTTTGTTACCTACTGTAATAGTGTGTGACAATAACCGTGCAGCTATGATGTGTCAGCTGATGGGTTTACCTGCTTGTATCATCTGTATCGTTAGAGCAATTAAGAACTCAAAGAGACTCTCATTTAGATTCCCTATAGGGTCCCTGTTCTTGAGCATATGTTTTCCACAGCTGGGTCTGAAATCACTCCTTAGTTCACTCGTTCACTATTGCCGACATAATGAACATTCACCAAAAGCACAGGTGTCACTAATAACGTTAACATTGGCTCTGTTCTCTCCCAGTGTCCCAGTAAGCCATGACAGTGTGACAGTGAGCCAGCATGCACAATGCCAGCACCATTAAGCTGAAGCATCTAAATGGAATTCAGCCATTATTTTTACTTTACTTTTTTCTCTTGTGTTTGCTTTTGCCATCACTGTGTGAATGTGACATGTAGTGTGCAGCACTTGGAGTGGTCTGAAGTCTAGAAAGACGCTACATAAGTACAGTCCATTTACCATTTCAGACATAGTAAATTATAGAAATAGGTTACTGGACAAAAGGATTAGTTAATAGTTTAATTTTGTTTAGGTGATCCAGTGCCAGCCAGGGTCTCTGCATGCTGGTTCATTATAAGGGCTTACTAATCATTAATGTTATCATTTACACCTGTACTTTTCCTGAGGCATTAGTCCTCCTCCCCATGGTGCTCAAACAGCCTCATCACAAGTGATGCCAACAAGAAAATGGTTGTATCACTGAGAAGCTCGCCCACTGAAATTAGAAAGTCATTTGTGTGTGTTTTTCTACTCTGTGTTCCTTTCCTCTATATTTTGCTAAACCTCAATAGCAGTGGTTCTAGTCTTGAGTCTCACTACTCCCTATACTAGCTATTGATTCCAAATCCCAAAAAAAGAAAATAAAGAATTTAAAAGTGCGTGGACCAATTTGTTTGCTGTCTTATTGGTATGCTAAATCTCCAGAAATTAGCATTATAAAGTATGATATGAAAGTATGATATCAAATACAATTTGTGGCTCCAGGCAGATTTTTATATAATTGTTTTTGGCTAGAAATGGTTCTTTTGAAAGTAAAAGTCGCTGACCCCTGTCCTAAATGTTACACACTGGATCTTTAATGTATTAATTATGTAATCACAATTATGTCCAGGTCATAATTGTAATAATGTTTTATCTCTCAACAACATAGAATTTGACAAGCAACAAACACACCGTCCCACCACTTCCGTCTGTCCTCCCGGGTCTTTATCTCCACTGAACACGAATTGCATTTGAGTATGTGCGTGAGCATGTGTGTGTGTGTGTGT